TTTTATAATACGAATGCATAAACTTTTTCCCTAAATCTTAAACAACTTTTGCTGCAACATGCAATGCAATTTCGGCACATAACCATGTTATGTAGAAATGTACATACAGAAGTACTGTAAATATGCCCTGTGTTTGTGCTGTTTACCCCGGAGTTTGTACTGTCAGTCTATTTGTTATTGAAGAAAGTAGAAATTCTGTCAATAAACATATACAGTAGACAAATGTGTCAAAAGTCACTTATTCACCCATACAGGAGTTTATATCTTCATTTCTTTCTGTTTTTGTCTCTGCTAGCAATTTTCCTCTCCGTCCTCGGCTTGTGATATATCTGCTGGTTAGTGAATTTCTTTGTAAGGTGCTTCAACTTTTTATTCTCCTTTAACATTGATACGGCAACTTTTGTGGTGATTGGCTTGTCTGAATGTATTAGTGCAGCAAATAACTTTCTAAACTCAGCCATTTCGTTCTCAGTAAACAGGGCGATCTTGTCCACCTCTGGAACGTGATGATGGAGGAACTACACCAGATGATGATGATGAGCATGAGTGCTGGCTGCCTTCCTCTTTGTCATCTTCACTGCCTTTTTCGTCGTCCGTGGGTTTCTCTTATTTTAGGTCAATTACAGAATTTGGATAGTATTTCATTAAGACTTGAACAAATTACTTGTCATATAATACAATTCTGTGGTGTTAACCTCATTGGTGATGAAATTCAGCGTTTTTTTTGTTTCTCAAGGATACTACACTGTTTGCAAGACGTGGAAGAATTCTATGATGAAATCCCTTTTGTCGCAAAGAGGTTCATTCAGTAAGAAGAGGTCGACCCAGCTTCAACATTAGTTGTGAACAATTGAACTACTTCTTGAATTATCAGTTTCAGTGAAAGATATAGCATGTGCACTAGGAGTCTTGCAAAGCACCATATTTAGACAAATGAATGACAATGGATTGCAAATTAGGCAAAATACCAATATAATGTCAGCTGAAGAGCTAGATGGGAAGATTACACAAGTCTTACAAGAATTCCCCATATATTTGAAGTAAAAAAATGCTTACTATTTTTCTAAATATATAAATCATATAGAAATAAGTTGAAACATCTGATATTACTAAGTAAAAAGTCCCATTACTCTAATTACTTTGAAAATAATTCTAACAACATTAAGAAAACCTGGCAAGGGATTAAACAATTAATAACATTATTAAATAACAATAAATCTAATGTTCCAACTACAGTGGAAATAGGTTCCCAAAAAGTAACAAACACCATTGACATTGCTAATGCTTTTAATTTTTATTTTGCTAACATTGGATCTAATCTTGCTAAGTCTATACCTTTACTAAACTTATCATTCGATAAATATTTAAAATCACCTATTTCACATAGTTTTGCTCTTTATCCAACTAATCCATTGGAAGTTGAACAAGAGATTGATCATTTATGTAATAACAAATCTACTGGGCCATTTAGTATTCCAACTAAGTTACTCAAGCTAATAAAATCTATACTGTCTGAACCATTATATCTATATAATTGTTCATTCAATTCTGGAATTGTTCCAAGTAAATTTAAGATTGCAAAAGTTATTCCGGTTTTTAAAAAGGGATCTGTCACTGTTCTTTCAAATTATCGTCCAATTTCTTTACTTTCTGTATTTAATAGAATTCTTGAAAAACTGATGTATAAGAGGCTCAATAGTTTTTTTGAGAAAAATAAAATATCTTACTCCGGTCAATTTGGTTTTCGTGCGAATCATTCTACTAATCATGCTACATTGCTCATTACTAATAAAATTCAAAGGCAATTGAAAAAAAGATTTATTCATGTGGAATATTCCTTGACCTTAGTAAAGCATTTGATACTGTTAATCATAAAATTTTAATAAAGAAACTATGGTATAAGAGGGATAGTAAAAGATTGGTTTTGCTCCTATCTTTTAGATAGAAACCAATTTTTTCACTTGGTAATGTGTCATCTGATGAACAGTTACTTACTCATGGAGTTCCCCAAGGCCTCTGTCCTGGGGCCTCTATTTTTAATTTATATTATGATTTTAACAAATCTTCTGATTATTTGGATTTTCACCTTTTTGCTGATGATTCAAAACTTATTCTTTGCGCACAAGAGCCTCCAATCTCTTGAATCGCACTTGAATGAACAGTTATGTAAGGTATCAGTGGTTATGTGTTAATAAACTATCCCAAAATGTAGAAAAATCCAACTTTGTAATTTTTCATCTGCCTCAGAAAAAGGTTAATTACTCTATTAGCCTTCTAATTAATAACAATATTTTAAGGCAAGAAAATAGCATTAAATATTTAGGTATAATTATGGATTCTAATTTGAACTGGAAAGAGCATGTTCATGAGCTATGTAAAAAGATATCACAGGGAATTGGTATACTATAGAAACTTCGTCATTTTGTCACAAAAAAGATACTTACTCAAGTAGTTTATTATTCAATAATTTATCCGTATCTTATTTATGGCGCTTTGATATGGGGAAATACATATTGGACTAATATCAAGCCCTTGTATATCCTGCAAAAGAAAGCTATCCCCATAATGAATTTCCTATTTTACCAGACACATACAGCTCCTTATTTTAAGAAAGACAAATTATTAAAACTTGCAGATACTGTTAAGTTCCATACTGCACTTGTTTATGCATCAGTTTCATTGAGGCAGACTTCCGGTTGCTTTTGACAACTTCTTCGTTTTAAACCATATCAAACATAATTACGATACACGGCTTGCATCAACATGTTCATACGCTTTACCTTTAGTTCGTACAAACTATGGAGTTTTTAATATTAACTTTTCGGGCCCTAAAATTTGGAATGATATTGATGAGACGCTAAAAATATTGAGTATAAATTTATTTAAAAAGAAATTAAAAACAAAGTATAATTGGGCTATATTAATTTGAATATTTGATTGCTTAATTCGGATCATATTTATGTTTACTTTTAATTTTCAATTTTGCCATCTTGTAACACATTTATTTAATAATTGTTTACTGTATATATTCTACTAGAAATTGATCGCCACCTGTCTCGATTAGCCCCTATGGTTACTTATGGGTGGGTATGCACATAATTCTTTTGTTTTATAATGCTTAATGTAGAAAATTGTTGTATCTTGTATTTATAATGTGTGTGCAAAATTATATTATTCTATTCTATTTGACACACACAGATAGAGGAATACCTTTGTTCATAACATTCGGGACATACACCACTGTACTAATAAATATATTTACTTTCAGTTTTATATGAAAACAATATGAACACTTTTCAGTTTCAGCCAGCAAAAATAAATGCAAAAATTAAATGAAGCTTGCGCAGACAGCAGAAGAACACGAAGACAGACGATGTTCGTAATGAGTACAGAATTTCTTGCATAGTGCAAAAGAAATTAAAGACCTGTTTTTAACGACTAAAATATTTGGCCGAAAAATATTGATAACTACTTCTCCTTCAAATGTAACATGTGGTGGTTTGGCATTTAACTTACAGCTGTTATTTTTATAATTACTTAGAATGTCCCCTTTTAACTCCTCCATTCCATCTTCTCGACACAACAAAACACTGTCATGGCAGATCTTCATCTACGGCAGCTTTCTTAATTAATCGATGTCGGAATACAATTTACTTTTGCTACTACCTTCAGTGCTTTGAGGACAGATTCCAGTGGTTGAAAGTATTTGTACTAAGTAATGTTGTTTGAAAGTAATGGCTTTCTTTCATGATTGTGATGATAGGTTAATTAAGTTAATTTAAGGATATTTTCAAAGATTGAATAGAAGAATTGGAAGTAGCTACTGTACCATACCATCATCATTTAAAAGTGCAAACGTCGCTGTTTCCATGCAACCATTTGCACTTTCCAGTTCTTCTATTATGGCGTTTTACCACATTTTACAGTACTATAATATTAACATTTTCGACTTATCAGCATATGGCAGTTAGTAGATGTATCAGAGTTGAATGTATTGACATTTCTAGCCATAAGGATGCACCGGAACCATAGATATCTTATATACACTAGATGGTGCATCTAAATATTCTGCAATTCAAAAATTGAAGCTGTGATTGCAGACTGAGGATATTCCCATTAAAAGAGGAGATTCATATGTTTTCTATTTCTTAAACAGGGAACTTAAACATTAAGTTAAACATATTCCAAATACATTTTTAAACTATTCAAATGATGAAAGTTATTGTTGTTTTTTAAGTGTTTATTAGCGAATGGGAACTACCAACATGGCCGCCATCTATTCAAATGATGGTAATCGCTGGAATATTCTTCAATATTACTAAAAGAGATGCGCTATCTAGTTTATATAAGATATCTATGACGGAACTCAGTTCTGGCTGGTTAGTTCAGGCCAGAACCCTGATTTTTCAGAGTTCCAGGTCCAGCTGGAACTAATAAAACTTAAGCATGGCCGGAACCAGAACTCTGTCATTTTCAAGGAGATAAAATATCAAACGTTTTTCTGTCCAACAAAAGTTCACAGTAGGAAGAAATTTGGACTACACAAAGAAAATATACACCATTAACACTCCATTATGATGTTAAACGTTTGTCAATATTTTTATTGTAACATTTGCGAGCTCTCTCCTTGATGACTTAAAGCATCTGCCTGTCTGGCACCAGACAAAGTAACATACGGCTTAATAAATCAGTTCTGGTTTCGGCCAGAACATTTTTCCAGTTCCGGCCAGGACTTTAAAAATTGGTTCCGGTGCACCCCTACAATCTGCTGAAATCAGTGACATTGAAAGTTGGAATTCTTAGAGTGGAAGGTTATTTTTGTAAACAATTGCAAAAATAACATGTAAAACCCTCTTCCCCATTTCAATGCTGCTGTATGCCACTTTTGGTCTAACAACATTGAACAGAGGGAGGGGTGCTATGTTACGATCTCAGCCTAACCGGTCCACGTAGTTTGTCACTGATTGTTGGTATACGACTTGGAGATACACATGCCCAATTTACCAGTCGCCACAACACTGGCGACAATACCTGTAACTTTCATCAAGAGTGGCAGACGAGCCACCACCACGCACATCCCCATGCATTTTCATTGAGTCCATTGCCACGATTTGATGACAATTCACACATTCAACTTTTGAACTCATAGATATCTAAAAAATAACCATTAGATATGGTGAAATCATGAAAACACCAAGTGAGAATAGCCTGTCGAAATGAACCAAATTAACAGCAACAGTACAATACAATAGTAACTCTGAAAATGGCAAACATTTGGGGGGAAAATTTGGAGTTACTATTGTACATACAGTATTTAAAATACATTAATTAACAATGATATGGTCGACTGAACATATGGGGGAGGGGAGTTCACCTAGTCAGGGGCCTAGGCATGGCTTGATATTTTTGTAAATAAGCCTGTGCATCAAAATTACAATCAAACAAAATTTAATTTTCTTATCAATCAATCAATCAATTAATCAATCAACAACACAAAGGTAGAGGCAACATTCTTTGTAAAGAATCACAACTCCAAAAATAGAAACCTGACTCTGAACACCACCAATGACACTGCCATGGTCAACTATAATTTCCTTTTGAAAAGGACGTATATACCCTTTAGCTGATGCCAATGTTGATTTGAGGAAAGCAACAGTATAACCACCAGGTGGAATGGGAAGCATTATCAATTGCCTATTGCCACACTCCCCTGTCCTGAGAATTTGGTAGCCTCCCACATTAGCAAGGAATGGATATGCCTCCAGAATTTTCTCATGAACATGCTCACTGTTGCCACCTTTTGCAAATGTTATTGTCTTCTCCCCCAACCCACCTAGTGCCATGTTCACTTTGTCTGTAGCAGTTGGAGGTGCAGTTGCATTTTTTTATTAGGCAGAGAAATATGTGTGTGACCATGTGTCTCGCACAGGCACTGATATTCATTGGCCAGATGATGTTGTGACCGTTCTTTTTTTTGGAGGAGCTGGCCTATTACTGGTTCTACTGGTAGCAGGTGGCCTATAACCAAACAAACTCCTGTGCTCTTCAGCTGCAGTTCAGATGCGAAGAGCCAGGCAACATCGATCTAATGGCCGACAAATGGAGATCCCAATCTGTAGTTTGTGTTGCTCTGACAAATAGCAAAAGCCATTGGACCATTTCTATATATGACGACCACAATGCAAATGTCTTCCATGGTCTGTTACCCTGGCTGACATACACTGAATAATTTTCGCAAATCTAATTGAACTTGTCACTTGTTACTGTAGCTACGAATGCTTCTTCTGGATAATTTTCAGTTAGATCTTTTATTACACACTTCAATTTGTTCTGCTTACGTCAAAGTTGAAAGAAATGCCTTGAGAACATGCATGCAGAACTCCGTTGAGTACAGACGTGTTTTGCAGAGCTCCTACAATATCAGATTATACACTTCAAGAAGCTAATTTTTTACTATGTAATTGTCTTTTGTGGCTATAAGGTGCACATTAATAATATTTGTGATTGAAGAATACCAAAATGCCAGTTACAAGACAAACGACATATCAACCCGATGAATTTCGAGCAGACATGAAGGAAGCTATACAAAGTGAGTTGCACCAATTCTTTAAATCATCTTACTTTAAGACGATCCTATCTGAAGCAGTAAATACACTCATCGAGCAATCCGTTCAACAAGCTACATTTCCTCTTATAAAGCGAATCGAAGCGCTGGAAGCAGAGTTAACAAAGGTCACAATAAAAGCGAATGAAAATGAGCAATACTCCAGAAAATATAACTTAAGAATTATAGGGTTGGTCGAAACCGATGGTGAAGATTGCGTTCAAAAGGTAGTTCAGTTTGTAGATGAAAAGTTGCATCTCAATATCCTTAAAGAAGAAATTGACCGTGCACATCGCCTTGGCCCAAAGATCTCAACTCAGTCAAGACCGCTAATTGTAAAATTCAAATCATATGGTACAAAGGCTGCAATTTGTAAACGACGAAAAGATCTGAAAGGCACACAGTTTTATATAAATGAAGACCTGACCAAGTACAACGTTAATCTGTTCAAATACGCTCGCGAACATAATACTCATATTAAATCTGTCTGGACGACGGACGGTAAATATTAGTTCGTAATAAAGACGACAAAATAATTCTAATTCATCAAATGGATGATTTTGAAAAATTTAATTTGGTCTAATTAATCCTATATTAAATGGTTATTTCAATACGACGACTGGCTTATAAACTAGCAGTTATTATGACCGCACCTATAGTCCTATACTTAATATGTTTATAATAGGCCTACTTGACTTTAACACTCTATTAACTTTATTTATCTTTGTTCTGGAAGAACGTTGTTTAAGTTCTTCTTGTGTGGTTCTCGCATGTAATATCATTACTATAAGTGGTTTTCGAGCAGCTGTGCAGACTGGTAAGTTTTATACTATGCCTAATGGAGGTTAGTATTGTTGTTTACAGAGCAGCTATCGGTATGTTTAATAACAGAAAATGCTGTCTTAATATAAAATCCAGTGTGTTGCAAATTCGGACGAGACACAGATGGGGTCTATGCATTTTGTTAATAATCTTTTTATCAATTTTGTTAATAATGGCAGGAGATATTGAATTAAATCCTGGCCCAAAAATGTCATGCTTAACAATTGGACATATAAACGCTAGAAGTTTAGCTAACGAAGAGAAATTTGAAGAAATTTCCACATTTATTTTAGACAAGAGTTGCTTTATACGTAGCACAATCACTTGCATTCAAAAGACGTAATGACCTGGAAAATATGGATTTAGAACTACTTTGGGTTGAAATTAAAATGAATGGAGTAACCCTGTTATGTGGGGTATGTTACAGACCACCTAATAACTCTCTAGAAGAAACAACACTTTTTTTAGATTCTTTCCAGAGTGTTATTGATAAAATTCGATTAAACCAACATTTACCTATGGTGATTGTGGGTGATCTAAATGCCCACTATGACCGAAATAAGTTACTAAGTACCGCGTTTGGTAACCGTTTTTATCATTGGCTCGAGTGCAATGCCCTGTCCCAAATAATCGATGACCCAACTCGTGTGACATACAACACAGCTACAATATTAGACGTCATAATCACTAATTGTCCTAAATATTTTGTAAACCAGGGAACATTTAGTCTACCCACGAACTGCGATCATTCCTACATTTATGCAAAAATGAGTATTACATATTCTAAACAAAGAGCTTTTAAAAGACACATATGGGATTTCTCCAATATTAATATGACAATGCTAAATGAAGATCTTTTGAATATCAATTGGGAAGATTGTACTAGAGATTCTATTCAGGTTGATGATGTTTATGGAAATTGGTTTCGGTATTTTCGACTTATAATTGATAAATACATTCCAAACAAAACAGTTGTAATACGACCTCGAGACAAACCTTGGATGATATCAGCGGTACGAACTGCAATTCGAAAAAGAAATAGATTATTAAAACAATTTAGTAAAAGGAAAACTGACTTGCTTTGGCGCCGTTACAAAAATCAGAGAAATTATACAACATGGTTAATTTGTGAAGCTAAAACCTCGTATTATTGTAAACTAAATAATAAACTATCAGATCCTTCGTTAGGTCCAAAAAAGTGGTGGAATTACATTAAATTCACTCTTAATAATAACAATAATCATACCTCCATACCACCTATTAAAGAGAGCGGTGAGATTGTTTTTGACTCGAAAGAAAAAGCGGACTTATTCAATGACTACTTTGTTAATCAATCTAGAATTAACGATAGTAATTGTCAGTTGCCATTATTAACTTATTTCCAGTCTGATAAAACATTATCAATAATTCATACAACAGAACGAGAAGTTCTGATGTTACTGGAGAAGGTTGATATTTCAAAAGCTTGTGGTCCTGACGGTATTGGAAACAAGATTCTTAACTCATTAACGCCCAATGCGCCCGTATGCGCCCTGAGATTGACAAGTGGGTAACGGACAATGCGCCCTGGCATGACACCTTAACTTGCGGGCATGATATTTGAGCACGTGTTTATTGGGTTGCCTAGCAACGGATACGAAAATAGAACGTGAAATTCGAGCTTTTCAACGGTGTATCATGCAAGAAAATCGGTCAGAAACTCGCAAAGTTTTTCAAGTTTAAAATCTTAGTTTTCCAAAAATAATGAATAATGGCGATTTTGTTACAAAGAAAGATTTTACAGCAAGTTTTAAAAGCAAGAAAAGAAGAGGTTTCTGAATCAACTACAACGAAAATTTGGCATGAAAGGAAAGCAAATGTATTGACGTTTTGGGGCCAAGTTTTTCTGTGAACCATGCGCGAGATTTTCAGCCAAAAAGATGAGGATTTCTCCAAACTTTATTAAAAATAGAAGTCGGAAATCACAAGAAAGATGAACACGGAACACAAGTGAGCAGATACGATTTTTTAAATGGTATTTTTGAGTAGAAATATGCGATCAAACACTCACAAAATTCGACTGCATTAATGTTCATTGAATCTAGTTTAAAGTTATCTTTTTAGACGAACTGTTTATGCAAATGTGGGCACAATTTCGACTGTTTTCGTAACCCCATTGTTGGTCTTCTTGTTCAAGTTGTTATTTTAGCTAAAGTATGTTTCAAACGACACCAGATTAAATTACTGTGTGCGTACATGCCCTATTTGGCAAGAATACTTCGAGTATTAAATTACACTAAGTAAGTAGGGTATCCAAAATCACTGTTATATCTATTTTCATCAATTTAGTCTTAAAATGACAACTCGTTTCAGACATATTGTGGTTTGAAATAAGTGTATTGAATTAATGCGCTTGCTTGCCGCGTGCGAATTCTCAAAAAGTCCGCACTTGAGTTCTAATGCTTTTAAAATGCTTTTTGTATTGGGTTTTATATCCCCATAAAATTTTAAATCGATAAGGCAGATAGTAATGTTGATCCAACCTCATTTTCTAGTAACTACATGTTGAATCAGAAGGAAAAGTTATCAAAATTTGGTCGCGACGGTTGTTTGCCGTTGTTGTCGCTTCTCTCTGAAATGGCTTCCTTTGCGGGAAGCCATGAAACTGAAGTCCCACCAAAAACATAATTTAGCCGTCCTTTCGGGCCCATTGCTCGCTTATTTATCATGAAATCGTTTCATTAGAACATTTTTAATAATGTTTATGGGAAACTTTGTAATTTTCTGAACTAAAAGTTTATGGTTTTGAGGTGTTTATTTTATAAAATAGCACGCGCGACAAAATGGCACTAATGTGGTTTCTCATGTCTGACAAACAACCAAAGATGAAAGTCCTTATTTCACCCTTTTATAGCTATGTTGAATACCTGACTATTAGGTTATCTTTTTCATTTGAGCATACAGATAACATTTCTACACAATTGGTCCTAATGAAAGCTTATTTCAAACTAAAAAAAAGCGATTGTTTTTCAGAGCCAGACTTCAAAAGAGAACGCGTGTCTGACATTTTATAGCAGGCCTACATTGGCGCGCAAAATAATTTTGGCTAAAAACCGTTTCTTTCCAAACAGAAACATGAGAAAATTGAGCTAAAATGCTTACCTGATGTATGTTTAAAATGTTTTTCTCTTTATGGTGTTTTTCAGTGCTTTGAGTAGAGAAGTGAATAACTTTTGGTTTTGTCACCGCAATTTGCCTTTGAAAATGTCGGCTGTCATTGTCTGTGTTAAAAACACATCAGAAAATTCCTATTTTCTCACCTTCCCATCCTTGGTTTATATTGAAAACAAATAGATTCTAGTACCGTATGTCCTTTTAAATATATTTGAGGTAATTAAAAACTCCAAAGATGTACAAGCACTGTGTTTTGGCTTGCACACTTTGTTGCATTTTAACACTTAGTTACTGTTCTAAATTTCATGTTGTAAACATCTTGCCCAAAAAAGCAAAGGAGTATTTTTTATAATTTTTGATCATTTTCTAATTCATATCACAATAGATGAAAATTGGTTATAATATAGATATGTACTAATTTAGTAAATAATTTTTTTTTTGGTTTTTATATAAATATATGGAGATATTGCCCCTATAGGTGATGAGTGACATGAAAACAATAGTGTCACTGGTTTACAAATAACAATTCTCATTGAAAAAACTAATGATATGTATAGGTATGCAAGTTCATTTAAATTAAATTTGGTCAATCATATATTAATAATATTTGGTTGAAAAGACCAGATTTTTTCATGCAACTGTTTCTGAGATATTGCCATTTTGGTGAAAGCTCTTGAATTCAGTCACGTATTCGCCATATTGCTTGCACGTTAGGGGGGTAGAAACATTGTAACAGCTTGCGCGTTAATGAGTTAATATATATATAGCTCCCAAATGTTTAGTCAATACCTGCCAAACCTTCCGTACAACAACAGAACCAGTACAAATGGCAACACCAAATGCATTTGCAGTCATGGAGAGAGATCCTTGATCCTTTAAAAAGTACAATGTCATTGCCAGTTGTTTCTCCACAGTTATAACATTGTCGTGAGGTTCTCCTACACCTGGCACCAAGTAAGGTCGCAATTTGTCCGCTAATTTCATGAAAACCTGCCTCTCCATTCTTAGATTTTTCTTCCATTCGGACATAGGCAAGATTTCGTTAAAGAGGTTTAGCCACCACCGCTCAGTTCTACCAGAAATACATCAAAATATTCGACGACGTCTAACAATTCATATTAAAGCAGTATTTAACAATTCGTATTAAAGCGCTCATTTACTGCTTGAACTGCTAGTTGCTGCTGCAGTCTTCTGTGGTACAATAACACAGAAATAACAGACCACAACATTGAAATATAGTAAGCAAATGAGCAAGAGAATAGCATCATACAACATGCCACCAAAATTTTGTGTTTTGGCCATGCATAAGTAGGGTGTTCCTACTGGGCAACATAGCCCTAGCAGAGTAGGGTCACCCTACTTCATGTAAACGCTCGCTTTTTTCTGACCCGCATGCTAGGGTAACCCTCCTGATAGGGTCACCCTCCCTCCATGTAAACAGGCCCTTAAAGACCATGTCCAGTCCATATATCTAACACTTTTCTGGTGCGTTACTGTAAATGAATATAAACTAGAATACATTTCAATTAAAAAAAGTTTGAAAGATGCAAAATTTGGGCAATGTTGTATCTGTGTGTCCCATTTGTTATGAGCAGAACTGATGTGCAGAACGGACTTGACATTGTCTTTAAATTTCAATAGTATTAATGAAATTTTGTTTGAAATTTTTAATATATTTTGTGTTATTTACAAAATGTACTGTAGTTTTGAAGTTACATACTGTAATCAGTGCGAGCAATATAATCAGTGCAAGCACAAAGGCTCTGTTTCAATTTGAGCATATAAACAATATAAATTGACCATTTGCGTAATAGACTAAATTTTGATCTCAACAAAAATTTCATCACAGCTTGAAAGAGCGTCACAAAATTAGTAATATTCCAAAGTTTCATTGTAAAATGTTGTAAAATGCGGATAATATAGCCTTGCGAAGTTTGCAATTTTCAGTCATTTTAGATTACAAACAGGAAATTGACAGCCCGATACGCTTTGAGGCTGTCAATTTCCCATTTGTAATCTAAAATGACTGAAAATTGCAAACTTTGCAAGGCTATATTATCCGCATTTTACAACGAAACTTTGGAATATTACTAATTTTGTGATGCTCTTTCAAGCTGTGATGAAATTTTTGTCTAGACTTGTTTAGATCAAAATTTTGTCTATTACGCAAATGGTCAATTTTGGCACCAGGTTCTGTTTCGATTTGAGCATATATATTTGGCAAGCAAACGAACAATCGTTTCATGTAGCCGCCGTCCAGACTCATGGATGAATACATTAAATGAAAAAACGGTAAAACAAGTTTGACAAGTTTTTGTTATGTGCATGGGTAACTGCTTGGCACTGCTGGTAAAATACGAGCCAGTTGTACAAAAACAACACAATCACGCTCTAAATATAGTAACATGCTATAAATATGCTACCCTTTACAAAATATTATAACTTTACAAAATGATGTTTGTGATGTTACTCTGAGTGTATATCCACACCAGGCGAGCTTGATATGGGCGGCCCATATGTTTCAAGCTCGCACGGTGTGGATATACACTCAGAGTAACATCACAAACATCACATTCACACCTGAGCACACAACACCAGCACAGAAAAAAAAACTTTACAAAATATCTAATAAAATGTTCGAAATTGTACATTAAAATGACTTGAAAACCGCCTACAGAGTAACTATAAATTCACACAGTGCAACAAAAATCAACCTTTTACAGAAATAGTAGTGCCATCACAACAATCTTTGATCAGTTGAAATTTGTAGCAGTTGAAATCAACAGTAATTGGAAACATTATATTATCATATTATTTGGAAACTTTGGAAATTGGAATTTATTGAAAACCTTGACACAATCTCCAACGTTTAAGTAACACATATAAAGTTTGCAGACCGAATTAAAAAATTGATATTGATCAATACAAAAATTTTAAAATATATAACAGAAATTCAAATGGACAATTTGTAGCCATAGGGTGAGGCTCCGATTTCAAAATATTTTAGTACTCGATAATAACAACATGAAAACCGATACATAAATTGTGAACTGCATGTAGAGTAAAAAGTTGTTCGATTAAAACTAACAGACAACAAATAAAACAGTACTATGCCACGCTTGTTTACGTACAGATAACAAACTGTCAAACTACAGGAAATGAAGTCAAGTTAGTGACGTACGTCCCACCATGTTATCTTTGCGCATGCTTGATACAAAGTCGTTCGTTTGCTCGCAGTGTTTTCTCCTCAGTTCCAAAACCACTGCCACCAGGATAGACATATTTCAGTATGGCTACAGAATAAATATTCTTTATATTTTAATTTAACAGCAAACATTTACATTTTAATGAATGATGAAGGTGACCACTGAGAGAACTGTCTGCAGTTTAAGATTCTAAATTCTTATAATTTTTATATATAATTTATATAATATATATAATTTAATAATATTTTATATAATTTAATATTTTATATAATTTTTAAAAATAATTCATGAGGAAATGGCGGAGGCTGTACTCTTTTGAGCTCTACAAAAAACTCGTGTAGTCACTCTAACGATTGGAATTTCAAAGAAATTCTTGAGCAAAAAGCTTCTTTGAATCGAGCAAGTAATATAATGCAAGGGCTACAGAATGTTTGTCGATGTGATGTATTGGCTGCTGATCTTGAAGGGGTTAAATTGGACATTGTGATTATGCAAAATAAGTTAAAAGCATCTGAAGCATTAAATGAGTCCCTAAAAGAAATAATTATGTGCATGAATTCGGAAAGAGTTCATAAATCGATGCATATGAAAAACACTTCTGGTATTACTAAACCCGAAAGTGGCGATCAAAGCCGATTAAATCAACCCGACAACTATAACTATAATGGCCCCAAAGTGAATGATTTTGATCCAGTTTTGGAAAATGAAATTAAAGATAATGCTAATGCAATTCGATTGTCTGAAATGGATAATGAGCCCTCACGTAATAGTCAAAAGGGATTAAACCACCAAAACATGAAGTTAATGCAAAAGACTGTCTTAAAGCAAGGACACAATCCCTCAATAGCAAAAGGTCAACCTAGAAATTGCATACGGAATAACGCAAAGGCAGAAAATTTACAATTAGGTGAGAAACAGAGCAAACCAAATGAAATTAAAGATACTGCTAATGCAATTTGATTGTCTGAAACGGATAATGAGCCCTCAACACCACTTACCACTTATATCATCTTAATTAATGGATGAAAGTTCATGAGAAGCGCAGAAGGCTGTTGTGTATTGGAACATATTGCTTAGATTTTTTACTACATTGTAAGAAATCACCACGCTCCTAGACTTTTTAATCCACATACTGTAGTTGTTAAATGAGTTGTATTCATATATAACTGGAGTGGTATTTTCAGAAGTATCTAATACAGTAGATGAAATCAATTATAACAACCGCATAGAGGATTTCGTCTTAATATCTGCTGCCTGCCTGTCTTTGACTAGAGGTGAGCCGATGTTTAAAAAAAAGCTGATTGCCGATACCGATTGTTAAGCACCGATATTTACAGACCATCGGCTGATTAATTGGCAAAACCGATGGTTGCTTATTATTACTACAAACTCATCAGACCATATTCTTTTGTATTTCGTCGGTTTTTAACTCCCCCGTAATAACCTTCAGTCTAAAAGCAGGCGGTGGTATTTGATTTCTCCGGGGGAAATACGGGGTTGAAGGTTATTACGGAAAAATAATAACCGGGTAG